GGCCACTTCTTGTCTTCTTTCATTTCTGAGCCCACAGACCGTCTTCAAGTCCCACAATCTCCCACAGTGGTTTTCGTTCTGGGCAGCTGTCTTATAGCTGGCTAGGATGTGCAACTGTTTATAACTCCCAAACAGCCCAGCACAGAAATTATGTGAGTTCCTGGAATGAATAAAACCGGACACCCCAGGCATATAGTGGAGTGTGTAGATAATATAAATGCAGTAACCAATAACCCTCTGCACACACTCGTGCCGACATGCACACAGGCACATACTGTGGGGGAGCCTGTGGTGGAGGGCCAGTGGGTCAGGGTTTTCAGAGGCATCCTAGGAAGAGCTGAAAATGTCACATTTATGTACTTGAAAGAAAGGCATGTAGCTTATTTTATTAATTTCAGTAGTGATTATAGCCTGGCCCCAACTCATTGCAAAGATTAAAACAGTTCATAAGTATGCAAAATAAAAATGAAAACTCTACTCGCGTGAAAAATCCTCTCTAGAAGAAACATTATTAACATCTCCCCCCACCCATAATTTACTGAGCTCTGACATTGAGGACTTTACATGAATTAAGTCATTAATCCTCCCAGTGGCCAAAGAGGTAGGGACTGTTCTTATCCCCATTTTTACAGACGAAGAAACATCGAGGCATGGAGTCTGGCACAGGTAGTAACTTAAGTAAAAATAAATGATCTGTGGAAATAGCTGTGTCTGAGGTCATGGAACCACGACACGAGGCCATGTTTGGAACCTGGACGTCAGCTGAGCCGTCCAGAGTGTGTCACCCCCACACTGTCTTTCTCACAAGTTAGCGTCTCTCCTTGGACTTGGATTTCTCTGCATGTGTAAAGCAGACATCTTTCCATATCAGGACACATAGGTTTTCCTTAATCTTTTAATGAAAGTGAATATTACATTCTAGAAGGAAAAGAAAAATCTGGTTAGGAAGCTGAATGGGGACATGGTAGATAAAGGATGAGCCTCTCTCTCCACCTGCATTTTGCAGTCCAGAGAAGCTGAAAGGCTGGCCTGAGCTTTGGCGTGAGATGAGAACAGACTGGGTGTATCCAAGGGAGCCTCTCTGAGAGGCGATATCATTCTGAAAGCACTGAGCCTGGAAAGGGAAAAGAGTGACAGTCATCATCTGTGTTCCCATCAGGGAGGCCACGTGTGGCAGCTGCCTATAAAACTTATCTGCCTGTCAGTCTCCCCTGGGGAGCCCAGACTCCACTTGGCCCAAGGGCCACTCCTCTCCCCACCACCCCCTGGGTGGCAGAGTCAGTAGCTGGAAACGCTCCAGATGGCTTCAGCGACAAAAGTGACATTGGCTCTTGGGCTCTTAAGATCACCTCGCAGAAAGGGATCATTTTGTGATTTATGGGCTGAGTGCCACTAGAAGGCTTTTTCTTGCACTGGACAAGTTGGGTGAGATGCCAGGGAGATTGCTACGGCCCCTCTGCATGTTTGCAGCACCCACCACTTAACTTTTGGCCCAGTGGTGTTTTCACTGGGATGAGGTCTCAGTTCAGTGGGAAATCAGGTTTGGGGGATCCGTTGTAAATTTACAGGTTTCCATGGCTTGTGAAGAAGTGGCTAACAACTTTTTGTGAAAGGAAATGAATTGAAGAAGCAGATGGAAGTGTAACGTTAGTCTCTCCCTCCTTTGTGCATATTGACTGCATTCTCCTGCCACGTTGATGGAGGTTGGACTCCCCGGTTAATCTCTGAGCTATTTGAGGTCGAGGACTGTTTAATTATCTGACATTCCCAAGACCTGCTTATAGCCCATTCCAATGATGAGAAGACATTTCTTTATGAGTGAAGAAATCCAGTGGTTTCAGTAAGATTTAGTTCATAGCACTAGCAAACACACGTCCTGGGAAGTCGGAGTCTGATGATTAGATCATCTAATGGTGTCTGTCTGGATGAAGAGGAGGCTGGGGAGAAAAGATACCATTCATTCCTTGGGGTTGGAGCTATATTTATTCCTCTTTTTTTTTTTTTTTTTTAAGGTTTGGTTCTTATTGTAGAGCTTACTATAGTGACATTTTAAACTGTGATCTTTAATACTTAAAACATTCCTGACGTATCTGGTTTTCTTCAGTTTCCCCCAGCCGACAGTGGAGACACGTATGGCTGTGACCCTGCCAAGGGGAACTGATTTCCCAGAAGGCAGCTCTCGACTTCCTGCTTGCCAAACCCAGCGTCCCCTGCCATGGGCCAGGCCCTGTGCTCAGTGCTAGGAATTCGGGGGGGGGGGGGGG